GGACCAAACACGTAGTAGGCGCCGACGGCAGCACACACGACGCCACAGACAGCAATGACACCGAGCACCCGTTGCGACCAGCGCTTGGGCGTCGGTGGCGTCGGGAGGAGCGTATCGTCGAGATGTGTCGGCGTCGCGACGGTGTCGTTGGCCATGTTGGAGGCGAAATGAAAAGTAATGACCGAGGTGCCGGAACGTGGTTAACAACGCGCGACGCTGTGGGTGGGTACTTACTTCCCACCCACCTACTCGCTTCCCAGTGGGAAGCGAGTAGGCAACCCAGATGCATAGAGAGCCTACAAAAGCTCTTCTGAGTTGTTCGTGGCCATTCATGTAGCATTTATAGAACGTGTACTAGCTCTCGGATCTGATCTATGATTGAAGCGGTCGTTGCCGTACTACGGGCGTCGGTATCTGATTCGCATCTGAGTTGGCTGTTTCAAGAATCTATGGCGTCCCAAGCAGCCCGAGCACATTCCCGAGTACGTATTCAGCCGAGAAATCCATTCTCAAAGAGAGTGCGCGCAACCTTCGACGCAGCGCAAGAACGTTCGCTCGTCCGATCAACCGATGCATGTTATAGTATTGGTATCTGATAACCTAGTGCCGATGTGATCGTGTTGACAACCTGTGTAGTAGTTTACTCGACAGCCATCCTGCGACGACGAGGAAACAGATTTCCAATACACAAACAATTTGGAATGCAGCGAGTCCACTGGCCGTGTACCATTCATGGCTGGGCTTTCCATGGTGCGCGCTACGACTGAGGTAAAAAGTCCTTCAGATGGCATCTTGCTGCACCTAAACGATTTGGATCAGAGTTGCACCTAAAATTTGATGCTCTGGTTGTGGCCCACAACCCTCTACAACTTGTTAGGTGTTATAATACATGTACTAGTAGTCAAGACGGCTGCACCCAATCTGTCTTGAGCGTAAGTGTACCTCAATCAGCACGTCGAGCCTGCATGTGCAGCTCGTCATCCCGTCGCAGCACACAACAACACCAATCGAGTTGGCAAAGCCGTCCATTCGTGTCGTGTTCGTACGCACAGACACTTAAATACTTGACTTTACTGGGCCGTATCTCTGTCCAAGGTGACGGGGTGGTTTTCTTGCGCCGTCGCATTCTCGCTGTCAACTCCAAAACTGACGCAACTGCAACCGAGCAACCAAGCAACCGAACAACATGCATATACGCTGCCGTACAACTGCTGCACCTCAGCTTTCTCTGCCACCAACGTCTACCAATTCGAAAGCCTCGATCGGCAACATGGGTTTTTCTGTAGCTGCGCTCGCCAAATGATATGCGAAGGCCTTCTTTCTTCCCAGCTACTACACTGTAGTAGTATTATGGTTATCCTCGTGTTTTCTTGGGGCAGGTTCTGGTCGAGCTCTTCAGCTTTGATTTTGCATGGGGGTAGCATGCAATCTAGCGGTGGGATCGTGTACTACGTGTGTCGTAGTTTGGACTCGTCGGTGTACGGAATCATGTGCATTGAATGAAATTCAACGGACATTGCCCCAAACCTCGAGTTTTTTTAGGGCAGGGCGTGGTCGAGCTTTGTCGTTTAGATGGGGCGAGCTGATGGGGCGTAGGGCCAGTGGGCCATCTAGCGCTACCAGCCTTCGGCCGGGAACCACACCGCGGTGCAGCCTCACGGTGCACGTGGTGGGTTTGTCCAAAAGACAGCAGCTTGCTCCAGCATCACGGCAAAATGTAATTTAATAGTATGACATTGTAGAAATACGTCACCGAGCGTCGAAAAAAGTTCATTGTTATGGTCTCACGCCGTCACAGCTCTGAATAATACAGTGATGTGCTACACCGTATACCCGGAACGATTTGCCGACTTAAAGAGCACACTCGAACCACTTGACGGGCTTGCGGTCGGCGCCCCACCAGCCATCGCCGTTGCGGAATGACGCATCAAAGTGGTTGATACTCGCCTTGTAGTTGCCACCGACCTCGGCGTTCGAGGAAAACTCGGTGAAGCCGACGCTGCAACTGTCAAAGGCAACAACGCCGTCGTGGATCGTGTCTTCCGAAAATGCCAACGAGCCAATGACAGCGAGCAGTGTACCGCCCAACGATGCCAAGCCCGACGATTTGGTGCCGCACATGAGCTTGTTGGCGCGCTTCCGGGCCGTCTGCGCGTCCTTGAACGCCTTCTTCAAGCTCGCGTCGACCGTGTCTTCGGCCTTCATCTGAAGATACGCCTCGGTGGCCGGGCAGTAGCCAAAGAGAGCCCCATCCATGCCGCAGGCTGAACACCGCCGCTCAAGCACGTTGGCAGCTTTACTGCCCTGCATCGGACCCGCGATCGAGACCCACGTGACACCGTCACCGAGCTCGCACACACCATTGGCGACCGCACCGCCAGCGATGAGGTTGCCCATCGAGTATGTCACCAGGATCATGTTGTCGATGGTCTTGTCAGTCGAGTTGCCGATGCTCAGCGCCGTGTTGCAAAACTCGGTCTGCACTTCCGGACGTGTCCAGGCGCGCTTGATCGACTCGTAGTGCGCGAACGCGACGCTCGAGCAGCACGGCGCGCTGTTCTGG